GAAATATTCAAATGATTAAATTTCTTTTTTTTATTTTAAAATTTTATGGACTTTAGGAGATAATATAAGAGAATTTATTGTGCTATAAAAAAATGGAAATAATAATTCAAGAGAGGAAAGTGTCGATATTCAGCAAATTCAAATTAAATTTTTAAACGAGGAACCATTGAATATGCAAAGCTACGCTTTAGTCATGCCAAAAGCAACAGGTGGTCACTAATCCATATTATGAAGACAGAAACCAAAAGGGTATGACAATAATGAAGATATTGTTTCTTACCTACTGTTATATAAAGACAAATGAAAACAAATTTTTGTAATTATAAAAAAAGTCGAATTAAATTTTTATTTTGCCTCAAAATTAAAATATTTTTAATTAAAAGATTTTTCAACTGAAAGAAATTCTTATGAATGAAAAAAAGTTTTCTGATATTTTTTTTACAGAAAATAAATTTATTCCTTTTGAGAAATTTTCTGGGAGAAATTAATGCTCTACCTCTTTTATATTGCCTTTTAAATTTGTTACTTTTTTATATGTAGGATATTTAATTATTTGGCACACAGTACAAGGCAATGAGATGAAATATTCTTTATTTGCCAGATTATTCTTTTTTTGCTCACAAATTTCATATAATCTTTACAAAAATTAATTAAATCTATGAAAGAATTTAAGGAATTTAGGTATTATCCACAAGTTTTGAACGTTTATTTTTTATTATGAACGAAATATTTTTTATTGCAAATATTTTATCATAAATTATTGATTGCAGTAAAAATTAAAATCTTGTGAATTTTATATTTTGAAACTATAAATAAACTTGACATAAATTAATATTAATATTTATTAATATTTCCATATTTATATTTTAATAATAAATAAAAATAATAAAATAATAAGTAATGTTAGTTTTAATATTTAATAAACGTTTTAACTTAATTTAACATTTTTTTTATAAAGACGTAAAATTATTCTACTATAAAAAATTAAGAGGAAATAAATAAATTTCGTTCAAAACTTTTAGGATCATAGGCATTTTTTTTCGTTTTGTGGTAATAAAATGTGTTTTATATTAATTTTTTTAATTTTTCGCAAACCTAATATCAAAAAGCAATTTAAACGCATTTTTTGGTTTTTTTACAGTTGACCATAAATGTGATATGTTTGGTGACATTTTATTTAATTCGCAATTTTTAAAAAAATTCTGTTGATCTTACATCTTAACAATCGATTTAGATATCTATCAACTTATCGGTTTTTAGATTCATAAGAAATTAATAGATTTCGTAACAAATTCTAAGTACAAGTGTCAACACTTTTCACACTGGAATTATATAATATTAACGTTTAAGGGATATTTACAAATAGCACCGAACAAAAAGTTTGAATTTTTATTTCGAGACTTTTTTCACACACGTATATTTATAATTATATGCGAATTTTAATAAAAATTAATTAAAAGTCTAATTGAATATTTTTAAGGAGATTTATTTCGAGGAAAAATATTTTCATCATTTTAATATTTAATAATGAAAAATTTGTTTTTCATTATCGAAATAAATATTATCGAAATGAAATAACTCTATTTAAAGAATCTCCGAATTTATGGTAAAATTTAAATGTATTGTTATTAAATTAATTTTTTTTTATTAGTCTGAATAAGAAATCCAATCTGTTTGAACGACAAATCCTCGCGTTACTATTTATTGAATGTAGATTCTTAGAAGTTAATTTATTGTTCTGGATTAAAAAAAGCGCACAGTTTCACACTTTTATAGATTCATTCGTTTATAATATGTATACTACTTTTTTTTGTTAAAAAAGAAAAGTATTAGTTCAAAATTTCAGAAACGGTAAAAAAATAACAAATTAATTCAATTAAATGTTTTGAATTTTAATAAAATTTTAATTAAACAGTAAATACTTAAAAAGCTTCTACTAAATAATTTCAATAAAATTTTAATAAAACACTAAATACTTTAATAAAAATATTGCTATTCAAATTAAAATTTCGTTTAACTCAACAATTTATATATATTTTTAATAATATTAATAATTTGATAAATTAGTGAGAATTCAATTTTGAAACTGTAATTTATTATCGAGGGGGATTTATTTGACCTCATATGAATATTATCAGTTTTTTTTAATACCAATTTTGCAAACTTGGAAATAAATGAATAATTAATTAATATTTATTTATCAATTCAATCACTAAATGTTTATGTCCCTTGTTTTGAAAGTGCAATTGAACGACACTATTTTTCATATTTCTTTCAATTTCAAATTTATTATAAAATAGTTATTTTATATTTAAAAAATTAATTCTCAACTAAGTAAATGTTTAATTTATATTATTTATATAACTTTTGAAAAAAATATAAGAACAAAAAAAGGTTTCGTTGAAGTTTCAAAATTTTAGAGAAATAAATATTAAAATCACTAATTTATGTTGTTTGATACAAATAGAGAAATTTTCAAGCAAATTCTTCAATTTTATTCTATAGCTGCATTACCATTTAAGGTTAAATATTTAAAATTAGTTTCGCTTAAAATAACAAAAACTAGTTTCGAAATTTCGCGAAATTCTTTTAAAATTGTGAAATAAATCCACATTTTTTGTTTGCATTAAAATTCTCATTTTTAAAATATTTTTTTTTTTGTAAATTCTTGAGCTGAATACTTTTCATTTTTCATCTGTTATATATTTACACATGAACTGAAATTAACGTTGGAAAAACGAATTGAAATAAAAAATGTATGTCATATCGATACCTCCATGTATTACAATCCTATCTTACGGTGAAGGTTAATACAGTCCTATCTTGCGGTAACGTTTTATACAGTTCTATCTTGAAGTGACGGTTTATACCATTCTATCTCAAAATTTTCAATTTTTCAGTTTTTTGATAAAATTATAGAAGAAAATATTCTGTATTAGATGGTAACACCTAAAATAGTTATATTAATTAGGATATTTATAAAAAACAGTAATTAGAAATAATAACAAGTTTTATCTTCCAAGTAAAAGTGTTCTATCTTTCTTTTGTTTTTGTATCTGTCAAAAAAAATATACACATGTGATTCGTATAATCGTGTTAGAAAAGCAAAAAAGAACAAAAGGTAGAAAATGGATATCCCTTTGGATTTAAGTATGCCATCAGGAAAAAATTCTTTACTGAATAATAATAAAAATATATAAATTTATAAAGTGATTATTTTATCTGTTAATTTTGCTTTATTTTAACTTTTCTTACACCAGGAGAGACTTGTTCTGACGTAGAAATTGAGATCATTCGAATTCAGACTCGGATTGACTATTTTGACTAATATTACAGATACTTTTATTATTATAATTATATTGTAATTTATAATCTTGTTATCGTTTGTGAAATATATAATAAAATACTAGTATAATATAATCCTTGAAACATACTTATAAATTCTATATTGGAGTGACGTTTTCAACGTTTATTACAGTAAAATAATGTAGATTTTAAAATTATTTTATTATTATTCTATTTGTATTCTCACTTGTGTAAAAATTTTCTACAATCAAAACCTCGTTTACTTACTTATTTAAATATTTGTATCTATACTTAAAACTCATAAAAATGATACGTTTATTTTAACTAATAATAATTGATAATTAAAATTAAACAAGAAAACTAACAACATTATTTTTATCATTCCACTATCCCGTGAAATATTAACCTGTCATAAAATTAGGTTAATTAACCTTTGTAGAAGTATTAAGAATGCATTTTCTTGGCTTGATTTTATATAATTGTGTTTTATTTATGTATATTATGATAGAAAAATCTTTAAAGAATTACATAAAAATTATCTTATGAATATCAAACTGTCATTAATATTTTTAATATGGAATTTACTTTTAATTTGGCTCTTACGCAAAATTGGAAAATTTGAGATAGAATGGTATAAAGCGTTACTTCAAGATAGAACTGTATAGAACGTTACCGCAAGATAGGACTGTATTAACCTTCACCATAAGATAGGATTGTAATACATGGAGGTATCGATATGAAGAAAAATATTAATTAAGTTAATTAAAAATACTGCACTTTTGAAAAAATTACTTTAAAAGACAATATCTATTTTTAATAGATAGAATTTTTTTTTATAACAAAATATAGAATTTTTATACATGTTCTTGAGTTTAGAAAAAAGATTTTTCTTTTCGCCTTTTTTTAAAAAAATTTAAATTTAAATTTAATAATTGCTAGAACCAATAGAGATAAACTGAACTCGCAAAAAATATATCTTTATATGGATGTAAAAAATATCCATTCGATCGATTTAGAGACCAACGAAAAATGTTATTTACAATGAACTTTTTTTTATATATACCTATATTTATTTATATATCAGCAACAATCAAACATTTTCTAACATTTTCACTTTAAAACTTATTCTATTTTTAAATATCTCACAAATTTTTTTTTTCTCTTTTAACGCAAAAGTAATAAAAAAGAGACTCTCAATGTCGAGTACCAAACGTTCAGTTTTCCTTTTTGCAGATATTTTTTATACATTTTTGTAAAGGGTTTCACAATGCTCTTGAAAGTATTAGATTGATACTAAAAATTGGTTAATAATAAAGTTAATAAATATTTAAATTACTTTTTAAAAATGGAGATTTCAAGTATTAAATGTATGGAGTAAAAAACTTTGTGTCCATATTTTTGACTATCTAAATTTGAATTAGTTGAAATGTTTATTAATTTAACATAATAACTGATTTTTTGCTTTCGAATTAGCAAATTTTACTAATAAATAGTAATTTCTACTAACTAATTAGTAAATTTTACTAATAAATAGTAATTTCTAAAAATTTGTTTGTAAATTTTACTACTAAATAGTAATTTCTACTAATTTATTAGTAAATTTTACTAATAGTAATTTCTACTAATTTATTAGTAAAATAAAGCAAAAAGTCATAGAAATGTTTACTAATTTAAATTTAGAGAGAAAGGCCTGTTTTAAAATTTTAATCTCTTTTTTAAATTTTGGATAAATATGGTTTTTGGATTGTGAAAAATATTCTTCATTATTATGAAAACGAACGATTTGGTAGCTCTTGATATTGATGGTCTTACGTGTACCTTGTCAGGTGATAGGAAATAATTAGCATTATCCAAACAGCTGATTTATGTTTCCTTAACGATGAATTAGAATTACTGTAACCGCCACCATTATGTCTTGGTCTCAATGTTGAACCAGTTTCTCTTAATGATCCTTGATAAACGTGATTTAATCTGTGACCCTCGCGATTCTCCGATGCCTCGTCTTCGAGATGAACACCATATTGTTCATTATTTTTCGACTCTAGATTCATTGCTGCAACAGAGTTAAAATTTGTTAATAATTGAATTATTACAATTTTTTTACATTTTATAATTCCAGAGTTACATTTCAATGTTCCTAACTCAATAAATATTAAAATTAAAAGCATTAAAAAACTTTTTCAGCCCAAAATATCGTGATAATAATTGTCTGATTTCTTTTAATAAAATCATAGCATAAAGATTTGCTTTCCATAAATTTGATTTCCGTTTGATATTATATATTTCCTGTCGCACTCTTGTGTTTGTTTGTGTGTGCATATTTATACAAACATACAACCAATTTAACGAGATAGATATATTAGATTGTAAATATTGAGATAACTTCTATGCATATATGGATATAATTTTGTTTGTCAACCGCAATATTCATGCTGTAGAAAAGAAATATTTTCCATTTTTTTTTCTTTGCTAATTTTATGCCTCATTTATTTGGAAATTATTATTGGATTTAGCTAATTAGAAATTTCCAGAGAATATATATACTATATACTCGGGAATCGAGTTAATACAAGTATAATAAATACATGTTATCAGCAGTGATTAAAATTTTATATAATCTGATTCGAAAATTCCAATAGGATTATTATACGTTTAATATGTCGTGTGTGTATCTGAATATTGAGAGATAAAGTTCATTAACGAAAATAGGGCAAGTAATTAATGGTTTTGTTTAATTAATTCGTTTATAATTTCGAGTGGGTGTTTTGCTGTGCTTTGGTATGCTTTTCTATGCTTTAGTATGCTTTACAATGCTTTGCTATGTTTCGATTATGTTTCGTTGTGTTTTCGCTAACGAAAAAATTTAGGAAGTTGATGGTCACTGGAGTTGGGAGTGAAATTTCTCGAGTTAAAAATAATCAACTCCAAAAGGGAGTTAATGATTGAATTAACTCCCTTTTGATTCTTATTTTTACCTTGTAAATTTTAACTCCCTTCGCTTTAACTCCTAAATGGGTGCGACTTTTGTATAATCCCCTGGGGAGTTAAAATTTAACTCCCTTTTTTTACAGTGTATATTTTCGCTTCTTTATTATAACTGTCATTTATCGGAAATTTTTCTTTATTTTTTTTCCTTTAGTCTTCATTCATTCCTATACTAGTTGAATATTTGACAGGATTGCCATTCGTTGAATAGGGAACGTCTGACTCCGGCACATAGTCAGGGGTTTTTAGAGAACTATTTGCGAGGTTCGTACGCGAAGGCACAACGTTGTTTTACACGAACCACCGGGGTAATCCCATTTTTTTCCACATGCTCGCCGCTTAGATGAGAATCACACGAGTATTTCTACGCTCGACATCACAACTACGGCAGGGAAGAATTTCTCTTTGACGAGGAATCCGGTTGGTGGATCCAATTTATCGTGTATCCCCCGCAAAATCGTATATCTATCTATATATATATATATATAGGGAAAGGATCGAAGGTTGACGGGGGTGGAAATTGGGCAAAACCAAAAGAGAAGAGAATGATGAGAGGGAGAGAGAGAGAGAGAGAGAAAAGGGATGAACATGGGTGGAAAATGTGCGGCAGCTCGCCGAAAGCACTGATAACACTTGGCGGACTTTTATCGATCATGTCTGGCAACAGATGGCTCACCCAATTCCCGAGACCCCACGTTTTGTCTGGCTGGATGCCCTGATAAACGATAACTAATACGAGGAGGATATTGTTTCGCGGACTTTTAGTCGAGCCTGACATGATGTGCGGCATATCTCTACAATACGTCATGCTTTTTTCACTTCCCTTCAACATTTATCTTTCATATCCTTTTACTTTAGTGCTTTTTCAGTTTATGGAAAACTTTTATATATATGTATATGGGAATCTTATTGCTCGCATTTCTTTACTTCTCAATTATATGAAGGAAATACTTGATCTTTTTCAAGAATTCCCACGTTGAAAAATTCCATGGAATTTCCGTGGAGTTTCCATGGAAATTTTGCAAGTTTTTTATTTTAAAAATATTTTAACATTCCCAGGGTTGTCATAGGTCAGGGAAATCAGAGAAAAGCCACGTGAAAATTTCAATTATCTTTCAAAATAATAAAATTCTTCTCCAAAATTCAATTATTTTCAAAAATTTTAATAAAATTCTTGGACAAGATTTCAATTATTTTCAAAAATTTCCCTCAATTCAATCATTTTCAATATCTAGTATTTTATAATAAAATTTTTCAAAAGATTTTAATTATTTAACAAAAGTGAAGATAAAATTTAAAGCAAACATTAATTATTTTCGTAAATAATAAAATTTTTTACCGAGATTCAATTATTTTCATGAATAATAAATCATTGAATTTCAATTATTTTTAATACAATTTTAATCGAATTCTTCGAAAAATGCAATTATTCTTCAAAATTTTATTAAAATTCGTCAAAAAAATTCAATTATTTTCAAAAATTTTGTATATGGATTCAATTATTTTCATAAGTAAAAAAAGTCATCGCAGAATTTCAATTGTTTTTAATACAATTTTAATTTCAATTCTGCTTGAAATTAGTTGAATTTTTTAATATACATATTTAATATTATTTCCAAAATTTTAACGCAATTCTTAGAAAGAAATCAATTATTATCAATTCTTAATAAAAATCAAAATTTTTTCCAGAAATTAAATTCTTATCAAGAATTTTAATAAAATTCTATGTAAAATTCAATTATTATCATAAATAACAATATTAATCACGAGAATAAAATTATTTTCAAAAGTAATAAAATTCTTTTCAGAAATTCAATTATTTTCAAAAATTAAAAAAAAAATTCTCGTCATGATTTCAATTATTTTTATAAACAGCAAAGTTCTTCGCTGAAACTAAATTATTTAAAAAAAATTTTAAGAAAATTTTACGCAAACATTTAATTATTTTCATAAATAATAAAAATTTCCCAGGATTTCAATTATTTACAAATTTTTCTATAAATTTCTTTGAAAATTTTAATTTTTCAATTATTTTTATAAATAATAAAACTGTTCTCAGGAATTTAATTATTTCCATAAATAATAAAACTCATCGCAGGATTTTAATAATTTTTGTTACAATTTTAATCGAATTCCTCTAAAAATGTAGGATTATTTTTAAAAATTTTATTAAAATTCGTCAAAAATTCAATTATTTAAAAATTTATTGATTAAATTCTTTATGAGAATTCAATTTTGAAAAACATTTATTTATTCAACTAGCTGTCGTACTACTTTCGGTAGTATAACATTACTATTTGAATAGTCTCCACCCTTTAGCAAAAAATAAAAAATTATCAAAACTTCAAAAAACTGAATTTCTTAAAATTCAACATTTTTCCTTCTTTTTTATGGCATTTAGCTTCATTATTTTTGTGCTCTTCAAAAATGCTTTACTTATTTAATAGTCTCCACCCTTTGGTAAAAAATCTAAAATTGTGGAAAATTAGCAGAAATTCAAAAAACCGAATTTCTTAAAATTCAACATTTTTTTTTCTTTTGTATGGCATTTAGCTTCATTATTTTTGTCTAATGTAGCAAATTTCTTACTTTAGTTATTGATCTTTAAATAAAAAACTTTAATAACTAAATCACTATTTTTTTAGAAAAAATTTGATCTAAAAAAACGAAAAAAAATTTCAAAATACGTTTTTTCTTTACTTTGTGATAGCAGAAAGTCGAAGGTTTTGGGTTTAAATTTCGAGGGGAGTTGGAAATCGAGGTCGTGGATATTGGTAGCTTAGGTATATTTCCGTTTTGAATATCCACTAAGAAGTTTGAGAATTAGAGCCTGCTCAGGTGATTCGCAGCTTCCGCAAAACCACAATCACGGCTAACAATAAATTTCCCTTACAAACCCACATGACACACAGAGGTTTTGTCATTTAATGCACAAACCTCTAAAATATGGTTTAGAATTCGATCCTAAAATTAACAACATTTATTTATCCCCTTCTTCGAAATAAATTTTGTTTTACTTTGGATCTATTAAGCTACAATTTTTATAATTATAAGTTACCATTGATACTTATTGTTTCGTTAAAAAAGCCACTAATGATACTATTTCTCAAACCAAGATTTTGAATATCAATTCATTTAGTGAAGAAATTAATTCTAGGACTCTAGAAAAATAGAAGACTGTAAAAATATCGGAAATTAAAGTAAAATAAAAATTTAAATCCGTTGCTAAACTCTCTAAATTTGATAAAAAAATTATCGTCTTGTATCCTTATGTTTTTTTTTAATTTTTCAGATGTTCGTTTCTGGATAGAAAGTCGTTGTTGCTGAGCTACTACTAGAAAAGATCTGCGCTTCGGAATTCAAGGTATGTCAACATTTTTTATTTTAAAATTATAACGAATTTACTATACCCACTAGAATATTTAGGCTTCGAACTCATCTACTAAAACCTACTTTTTTACAATTTGCTACTATTTGGATACATTTTTTAGATTTGTGACACTAACAGTTTTTTGCAAATATTTAAATATTTTCATAAATATAATAAAATTCTTCTGAATTATTTTTATAAAATTTTCCGAAAGAAATCAATTGTTTTTAATAATTTAGATATAGAATTAATACAGATATAAAATTAATTCAGGCGGAACCTGAATTTTAAATTTAGTTTTTTCAGAATATTTTTCTTTTTGGTTTGTCTTTGTTTAGATTCTATTTCTTTTTTCCATGCATAAAAATGTTTTTCATCAAGTCAATTGATTAAGTAGATATAATATTCAAGTTGAAAGCTCTCTCGCTTCTATGAGCTCTCCTATTCCTCTTTGTACTTTAGTTTGTGCTTACAAGCTGCTTTTCTGTTTAACGGTTAATCCCCGAGCTTATCTGATCGCGTGACTATATAGTGAGGGTAGCTTTGGTTTAGTGGCGCATATCAACGTGAAAGCAAACCCCGCGTGCGAATGAGTCCCGAGATACAAGACAAGAAGCAGAGAGGCGTCCGTTTACACCGGAAAATTTCCACAATTAACGCCCACTGACAAAACCCTCTCGCTCGTCCTTTGCCCGCGTGCTAACGAAAATGATCTTATCTCTTTCTCTCTCTCTCTCTCCTAAAATTCTCCTAAAAAGAAAAATTAGATGAAAAATTTTATTGATAAAAAAAAGCAGACTCGCTTCACGTTAATGGATTTAGATAAGAATACCGCCACTCTCTCTTATAGAATAATCTCTGCATTCACTTGAACAAAACATAAATCTTGTTTATTTAGATATACTGTTTTACTACTCTCGTGACATACTCTCACGGAAAGTTAAATTTGTAATCTTAAGAATATACAAGTTTTGTTAAATTAAAACAAATCTTTATGGGTGACTCGCGGTTATTTTTACTACATCTTTTTTTGAAAAATTATTTCTTTTTAGAATTTTTCAAAAAAAGCTTGATAATAATTATTTTGTTGATATTTGAGCTTAATTTTTTTTTACCCCTTGCATAAATAATTTAAAAAAATTTAATTTAGTGGTTAAATAGAAGTTTAAAAAAGTCAGGTTTTGCCCATTAGTGATATAAATAGTATAAAAAAACAAATAAAATAAAAACAAAAGCTTATTAAATTTCAATTAAGAAATATTACAAAATATTTAAACACAAATACATTTTTAATGATATATGATAGAAAAAAAATTTCAAATAAACATAAATACTTTCATAGAAAAAAGCACATAATTTTCAAAACTCACACCTAAATTAAAATGATATAAATATTTGTTAACGAAAAAAAAAATTGGTCTAATATTCGTTTTCTTTTTCTCAACTACTTTAATTAATAAAATCAAAGAAAAAAAAATTCCTTAAAATTGTAAAAATTAATAAAATCAAATAATCTTTACAGAATATTAAAGATATTTGGTTACTCAAAATTACTACAGATCAGGAAAGTGAGAAAATTCAGGAAAAAATCAGGAATTTTTCTTAAAAGTAGAGGAAAAAATTTAATTTTTAAAATTCATAAGAAAATTCTGAAGTTTGGTGTCTCTTTTGTTTTCATCATTAACTATGAAATTACCACGAATTCAAATACAAAACCTTCAACTTTTTTTTTTCTATTTCTGACAATAATTTCATTTTAAATAACTTTCTTCATGAACAACTAACTATTATAAAATTATTACTTAGAAATTATTTAATGAGTAATTTTAGTTAAATATGTCAAAATCAGTTGAATTTAAGTTTCAATAGAATTTTAATTATCTTTATAAATAATAAAAGTCTTCTCCAAAATACAATTATTTTCAAAAATTTTCCTCAATCCAATGATTTTTATTATTTACTAATGTAATAAAAATTTCCAAATGAATTCAATTATTCAAATAGAATTTTAATAAAATTCCACGCAAACATTTAATTATTTTCATAAATAATAAAAGTTACACAGGAATTCAATTATTTACAAATTTATTATAAATTTCTTCGCAATAATTCAATTATTTTCATAAATAATAAAATTTTTTACAAAGATTTAATTATTTTTAGCAATTCAAATATTCTCATAAATAATAAAAATTATCGCAGAATTTCAATTTTTTTAATACAATTTTTATCGAATTCCTCGAAAAATGTAATTATTCTTAAAAATTTTATGAAAACTCGTCGAAGGAATATTAAATTATTTAAAAATCTGGTGCTATATAAAATTCTTTATGAGAATTCAATTTTAAGAAGCATTCAATTATTAAATAAATTATTTATTTTTGTATATTTAAATAATTGAATTCTCGTAGAATTTTCTAATAAAAATTGATTTAAAAATAAATTTTAGTTTAAATTGTAGATAATAATTGAATATTAAAAGAATAATAGCATGAATTTTGAGAAATAAATGAATTTTGAAAAAGTTTCACATTAAAATCTTTGATAATCTGAATTTTTAATACTTTTACCTAATTAAGAATTCCGTCGAAATTTTTTTTTAAATTTAAATAATTAAAATTCTTTTTAAATTAGTTGAACTTTTTAGTATTTTAATATATATGGAATTAATTATTAAAAATTACTGATTTAGAAAAAAATGTTTTAGTTAAAAATTAAAAAAGAATTGAATTTTTGAGAAGTAACAAATAATTGCAATTTTAAGAATTAATTAAATAATTAAATATTTTGAAAAGTTTTTAAATTAAATTCTTTGAAAATTTGAATTAAAAAATTAAATTATTGATGTTTTTGAATAATTTTACAATAAATTAAATAAAAAAAATTTCTCTAAACTTGAGAATTTTGAACAATTTTTCTATTTTTCCAAATTTAGAAAGAAACATTGAATTTTTAATACTTTTAAAGAACAATTCTGTAGAATTAATTTTTTAGAAAAGTTTAATTGAATTTTTTCTTTAAATTAGGTATTTGATGTTTTGATTTTCTAATTTAATTAAATTTCGAATAATCGAAATTTCTCAAAGAACTTTTTCAAGAATTATTAAAATATAAAAATAATTGATTTAAAGAAGAACTTTAGTTAAAAATTCTAGAAAATAATAATAATAATTGTTTAAAAAAGGCCTTTTTTCGATTATGATATTACTATTAAAAAACAGTAAAGATTAATAATTAATTATTGTACAAAAGTTTGAAGCAGATTTGTAAATAATTTTTAAAGTTATTAAATAGAGGGAACAGTGGGGAATTAAAAGTGACCACTAAGTGGAGAATCACCTTTATATATTTTTTGTAAAAATTCTTCTACTTAAATATGTAAATTCTTTTTTAAAATATAAAACATATTCCAATATGTAAAATAGACGAGGACGAAAATATATATTTTTTTGATTGACAGTTTTTATCCACGATATCGAAATCCATTAAATAACTAGATAATTCGATTAGATATTCTTGATTATTAAAATTAAATATTTCATCGAGAAAGTATAAATTATATCAGAAATCGAATATCAATTTTATGAAATATCAAGTATGTCAAAATGACGTTTCGTTAAATTTGAAAAACGTAATTTTCATATGTAGATATAAATACATAGCGAATATATATACGTTGAATAACAATATCCTAAAGTAAATGGAGCGCTTCATTGACGTCGTTATCCGGTTTTATGAAACGAATAAGGTATACTTTTATACGTGAACAAGAAACTAGAAGGGCTGCGCATTTAAACAGAGAGAAGCGTTTCAAGGAAATGCGTTTGGTAAAATCTCGAAGTCTTTTTTTAATGTCTCTGGGGTTTGACTTTACGACTTTTTTTCATTTCCCCGTTTACCTTATCAAAAAAGAAAATACAAAAAAAAGAAGCACTTTTATTTGACTATCAAAAAAAAAAAAAAAAAAAAAAAAAAGAGAAAGAAGAAAGAAGAAAACTTACAGTAAAGATGAATGCTTCCCTCAGCATCGCCCAGCGAATTCTTCGAGATGCACTTATAACCGCCAAAATCCCGATTTTGAAGGTCCTTTATTAATAAACGCATTTGCGCACTGTAGACTGAAACTTCCGTTTCTGACATTGAGTACTTTCCATTGCTGATTATCATTTCCCCTGAAAATAATGAGAAAAGGTTTCTATTTAGTTTTTTAATATTTTAATTGCTAAAAATTAGTTAAATTTGGAATATATTTATGCTTCCAAATCAAATTTTTTTTATCAAAATCACGAGTATTTTTAGAAATAAAGAAAAAAATGTTTATAACTTCTATTTGTCAAACATAAATTTTGATAGAAAATAAAACTTCAAATTTTAAGAGTTTTATTAATTATTTTATAATAATCGTAAGTTTCCTTTTGGTTAGCAAATTCTCTGCATTGAATTGTTTGTTTTGAAAATTAATTTTAGTGGGTTATTGTAATTTTTTTTAATGTAAAAAAAACAAAAAAACTCGTTTTATTCACTTCACAAAATTGACAAAAATTCCATTCCATATTTTTTATTTTCTTGACTTTTTCCTAATTTTCATAAAATTTTTTTTTCTTTATCCTTTTTTCTTATCCTGCCAATAAATTGAATTCCCGCAACGAATTTTATTATTCATAAAAGAATTTAAAATATATTTATAAAAAATAATTTATTTCTTGTTACGAATTTTATAAAAATTTTTAAATAATTCATTTCTTTCGAATAATTTTATGCAAATTCTAATTCAAATAATTGAATTGATGAAAATTTTTATTATTCATGAAAAGAATTTAATTCTTACGAAAATTTTTACAAACCATTTTTTAAATAATTAAATTCTGTTTGAAAATTTAATGAAAATAGTGGATATTGAAAATCATTAAATTGCGAAAAGTTTTTAAAGATAATTAAATTTTACAAAGAATTATATTTAAAAATTTGGCAATAATTGAATGTCTGTGAGAAATTTTATTAAATTTTTTTTGAAAATAAATGAATTCCTAAAAAACATTTTTTTTTATATTTATGAAAATAATTGAATTCTTGCGAACGATTTATTAGAACTTTTTAAAATAATGGAATTTCCAAGAAGAAATTTATTATTTTTAAAAGTAATTGAATTTTGAAAAGAATTTTATTAAAATACCTCAAAATAATTGAAGTTTTAAAAGTAATTTTCTTATTTATCTTTAATAATTGAATCCTTTGGAAAAATTATTTGTGTAAATAATTGAATTCTTAGAAAAATTTTTATTAAAAAATTATTTAATTAGGTATTTAAAAAAATGTAATGAAAATTGTATTTAAAACAATTACTTTCTTTCGAACAATTTTATTAAATTTTTGGAAAATAATTATTCAATCCTTCCAAAAAATATTAAAAAACATTTTTTTAAATAATTGATTTTTTCGAGGAATTGAAATTAAATTTTTAAGAATAATTACATTTTTTGAGCAATTCCTGTAAAATTGTATTAAAATTATTTATTATTTTTGAAAATAATTAAATTATTGCGGAAAATATTATTAAAATGTTTAAAAAGAATTGAATTTTTGTAAAAAATTTTATTATTTTTGAAAGTAATTGAATTCTTCATAAGAATTTTATGAACATTGTTTTAAATAATTAATTTTTTCGAAATATAATAAATATTATGAAAATTTTATTAGTTTAAATAATTGAATTCTTGTGGAAAACTTTAGTTGTGAAAATAATTAAATTTTTCGATTATTAATTTAAAATAGTAATAAAAATAATTGAAATTCTTCGATAAGTTTTATTATTTATGAAAATAATTAAATTCATGCTTAGAATTAAATCAACAATTTTTTTAAAAAATTGAATTTTCATGAAAAATTTTATTATTATTGAAAGTAATTGAATTATTGTGAAAAATAAATTGTATAAAATTTTGTTGAATAATTGATTTTTCGAAATTTTTTTGAAAATTAGCGAATTAAAAATAGTGGAAATACTCTAAAAAAATATTATTTATATTCTTTGTTCAGAAAGTTGAATATATAATAATTTTTTTACCTTCTCTATTCTTCAGAATAATTAAAATTTTCGTAATGAAGATTATTTTTAATTTAGGTATTAAATAACAATTTTTGCGAAATTCAATTTTCCTCGTACAAGAAAGTTTAATTATTTTCATCATTTCAAATCAATTATTATTTTCTACAATTTTTTATTATTTTTTATGAAAATAATTGAATTTCCTAAAAAAAATTTTATTATTTATAAAAATAATTGAATTATTGCGAAGGAATTTATAAAAAATTTGTAAATAATTGAATTCCTGAGAAATTTGTATTATTTATGAAAATAATTAAATTGTTTGCGTACTATTTTTAGGAATTTGAAATTGATTTGAAAATAATTGAACTTTGGAAAAGAATTTTGTTATTTATAAAGATAATTGGGATTTTGACAAGAATTTTTTTTAAACTTAAAAAATAATTGAATTTTATGAGAAGAATTTTATCACTCTTAAAAATAATTGAATTTCTGCAATTATTCGTAATTTTTCCAAAATTGTATTTTTTTTAGTGTTTTCAACAAAAATTTGAATTACAAATTTTTAAATAGTAATAGTAAAATAAATAAATTGAACAATTAGCGAATTTAATTTTATAAACAAAGTTTAGTTTGGTGTGTCACCTGAATTTACTGAAATTGAAATTAAATCGGGTGAATGAATAATAGAAGTAACATATATGAAAATAAAACAAAACAAAAAAAAAAAAAGAATTAATTACAGAAGAGATTAAAATTGTTTTTTAATGTTTTGCAATTGTTTGACAATAACTTTGAAAAAAAATTCAATTACTTATTATTCTCCAACTGATTTTATAATTTAAGTTTGAAAATCACAATTTAACAATGTTGACTCAAGAGTAATGAAAATTCTCCTGAAACAGATTTTAATTAAAAAGTTAAATTGCGGGTAATTGAAAGCATAACTTGCTCGTCACAGCTTTTTTCGAAAGTTAAAGTAGGTAGTCGAATATTGATTACTGAAACAAATTGTGTTTTTATATACATATATATAAACGCATGATTATAAAAATTAACTAATAAAAATATTGATTCAGATCAATATTAATAAAACAGAGTGAAATTTGGTTATACAATAATAAAAACTTCTGAGGAATTCATTTATTCAGGAATTTTTTTTTTTATAAACTTCTTTCCAATAATTCCATTATTTTCATAAGTAATAAAACTTTTAATAGGGATTCAATTATTTTTAAGAATTCCGATTGAACTAATTTTTTTTTAAATTACTGAAAAGTTTTCAAATTAAATTCTTTGAAAATCTAAATTAAAAAAATGAAATTATTGATGTTTTCCAATAATTTTACAATTAAATAAAAAAAATGTCTCTAAACTTGAGAATTTTGAACAATTTTTCTATTTTTCCAAATTTAGAAAGAAATAAAACAATATGTTGTTTTCGGGAATAAAAATTGAAAAGCAATACTTTTACCTGTATCACGTGTCCAATAATTTATGGGCTTTGGCGAAGCTTCTACATAGCAAACCAATGTGACATCAGTAGCGGTTGGGGCACCCACAAGCTGATTCGGCACTTGAATCAATGGACGAACTGTAACATGACAAATTAACGGATCGATTATGATGGAAGACCCATATGACCCTATTTTAGAGAAATCAAAAACTACATGCACACATTATCATTAAATGGCAATTTTTCCCCTTTCGATTTGCTCTGAATATCAAATATTCCGCAATATTCTTGCAGCGAGATGTTCTCGATAAACGTAAAATTGACCAATTTTAATTATCGTTCATGTTTTCTTATTTTTTTCAAACTCATTATTTTTCGAAATTACTATTAAAAAGAAACTGTGATCAACAAAAGTACCCAGACTACTAAACAATAGAAAAATGTAAATATTTTCTTCAAAACAATAGTTTTATTCTTTTCGATTATGCAAAAAAAGGTTTTTGACGCTAACTTAAATTAATTTATTACAATGAAATAAACGCTAACTTCAGGGACTATAAGCGTCTGAAAATTAGAGCTCAAAATTCAATTATTTTCAAAAGAAATAAAATTCTTCGCAAAAATTCAATTATGTTCAAATATTTTAAAAACTTTCTAGTTAAAATTTCAATTATCTTTAAAAATAAATTAAATTCTTTTCCAAAATTCAATTATTTTCTAAATTTTAATAAAATTCTTGGCAAAATTTCAATTATTTTCAAAATTTTTTCTCAATTCAATGATTTTCAATATCTATTTTAATAAAATTTTCCGCAAAAGAATTCAATTATTTAAAAAAAATTCAATAAAATTCTACGCAAACATTTAATTATTTTCATAAAATAAGAAAAATTTAACAGGGATTCAATTATTTACAAATTGTTTGTAAATTTCTTTGCCATAATTCAATTATTTTCATGAATAATAACATTTTTACATGGATTCAATTATTTTCGTAAATAATAAAATTCTTTTCAGGAATTTAATTATTTTTATAAATAATAAAACTCATTGTAGAATTTCAATTATTTTTAATACAATTTTATTCGAATTCCTCGAAAAATGTAATTATTCTTTAAAATTTTATTAAAATTTGTCGAAAGAATTCAATTATTTAAAAATTTATTGCTAACATTCTTTATGAGAATTCAATTTTAAGAAACATTCAATTATTCAATAAATTATCTAATTTTGTGTTTAAATTATTAAATTCACGTAGAATTTTCTATTAAAAATTGATTTAAAAATAAATTTCAATTAACATTTTAGATTATAATTAAATTTTGAATGCATTATAGCGTGATTTTTTTTAGAAATAATTGAATTTTGAAAAGGTTTTAAATTCAAATCTTTGAAAATTTGAATTTTTCATATTTTTAACTAACAATTCTGTGAAATTAATTTTTTTGAATAAGTACAATTGCCAATTTCTTGAAAAATTATTTGAAGTTTTTATTTTCTAATGTATATTTAATTGAAGAATTTCCAAATAATTGAAATTTTGGAAAATTGAATTATAGACAAATGAATTTGAAAATTCTTAAAAAACTTTTTAAAAAATTATTAAAATTAATGAATTTATAAAAGAATTTTAGTTAAAAACACTTTAAAAAATTGAATTTTGGAGAATTCTTCACAGAAATTTAATTATGTTTGAAAAATTTTAAATTCTTCTTAGGGATTCAATTATTTTCACAAATTATAAAACTCATCGCAGAATTTTAATCATTTTTAATACAATTTTAATCAAATTTCTCGAAATATGTAATTATTCTTAACAAATTTTATTAAAATTCTTCAAAAGAATTTAATTATTTAAAAATTTATTGATAAAATTCTTTGTGAGAATTCAATTTTAAGAAAATATTCAACTATTCAATAAATTATTTATTTTCCTATTTAAATAATTGAATTCTAGTATAATTTTCTAAGAAAAATTGATTTAAAAATGAATTTCAGTTAAAATTTTAGATAATAATTGAATATTAAAAATAATATAGCGTGCATTTTTAGAAATAATTGAATTTTGAAACTAATTTTTTTGAAATAGTTGAATTGGGTTTTTTATATTATTTAAAGTTTTTATTTGCTAATATATATTTAATTGAAGAATTTACGAATAATTGAAAATTCGTAAAATTGTATATTGTAAACAAATGGATTTGTAAATTGTCAAAGAACTTTTTTGAAATTTTTTGAAAATAATTGATTTAAAAAAGACTCTTAGTTAAAAATTCTTGAAAATAATAATTGAATTGTGCTGCCAGATGATTAAAACGACAAATCTTCAAACTTTTCTTATTTCCCTTCAGAAATCATTAAACTAATCAAAAAAATTTCTTCAGATTTTGGTTATAATTTTTTTTAAAATATGATAAATGAAATTATAAATTTCACAAACAATTTCAAAGAAATAAATTAATATTGTTGTGTATGCATCTGTTCGCAGTTTGAAGTTAGTTTTTGTTTGCTTGTCAACTTTTCTAATAAATTTTCTTTTTTAATGTTTTGAATTTTAAAAATTAATGCACTGAAAATTACTAAATTCTTGCAAAGTTTTTATCAAAAAATTTGAAAATAATTAAAATCATTTGACGAATATTTTCGTGTAATTTTATTAAAATTGTTTTGAAAATAATTGAATTCCTGCGATGAATTTTACTGTTTATAAAAAATAATTGAATTCTTCCAAAGAATGTTTTATTAAAATTTTTGAAAATAACTTAATTCTTATCATTAAAAGTTTTTTTTAAATAATTTAATTCTTGCGAAAAATGTTATTAACATTTTTAAAAATAATAAACAAGAATAGTTAATTATGTAGTTAATAGGTGAATTTTTTAATTTTTCAATCTGAAATTATTCAAAAATTAATGTTTATATTGGAAAATATAAAATTGTTTAATTTGCAAAATAATAAATGGAACAGTAATATTTACGAGAGTATGTAAAGAATTCAGATTTGAAGAAAATCTTTCAATTTGGCAGCACTTTAATTGAATTGAAACGACAGAAATAATTTTGAAGAAGTCCATTATACTTATAATTTATAAAATAATGATTTTATCATTGGGCCATTTTTCATGTTTTATAGTCATGAAAAATTTCAATTTATAATTTTAAGTAAAACTTCTGTTATTTGACTCGGATTGGTTACATTTTCGTCAGTAATTGGTCCGTAATTTTTCATTTTTGTTCCGTAAATTCCGAATTTTTAAATACTTTCACTGGTTCGAGCCCTGTAAAATCGATTCGAGACCTAAATTCATAATGAATAGAAATATTAATTTACTGGAAAATAATTTGAATTTGGAATTTTTATTTTTTCGAAAATCGCAAATAGAACATAGTGACGCGCGCAGTTAAAGAGTTAAAATAAAATTCGATTCGGTTTGATTGGTGAGTCGCGGTTTGGTGCTTGGTGAAACCACATTTGGTGAAATGCTATCCATCTCGGGAACAAGCCCTCTGGCTTTAACTGGGGCTCTCGTCGAGTGATAGGCAGAAAAATATATATCGCGAAGCAATTAAAACTTTCTAGCTACCAACGTTAAGGCCAAGCCGGGACCATAAATCAATCCAATTGTGTCGTATTGTCGTGTTCCTGTATATTTAGTATATAGTAGACGTTGGATGCATCGTTAGTTTGCAACAGTGTGTATATATATATATATATATGTAACTATGAAAACACAAATAACACAAATCGTTTCCTATATATTCAAACTATACATTGTATATACATATAGCCTATGTGTATTGCTTTGAAAATTTTTCAACTTTCATTCATTAATTTTTTTTCTACTCTTTCGACATTGTGGAAAATGAGATGAAAAAAAAGGTAATTTTAAACAATGCTAATACGAATTCCGCCGCTCTTAACTGTTGGATCAAATTTGTTGCTTTGTTTTATTACAAGTTTGGAGTTATATTAACTTTTTTTTTATTTTTTTTACGATTTTTTACAATTTGTTATTTATAGAAAACTTCTGATTCTACTCAATTTATGTTTCTTGATGTTTCAATTTTCGAACATTATTTAATACTTCTTTTAGTTTCTAATTATTTTTCTAATTATTCTTTTAATTATTTTTTTCTATTATTACATTCTTTGTGAATTCTATTTTTATAGGACTATTTAAAATGTTCTCTAGAAAGTAATTTGTTGAACTATTTTTTGATGACAGGTATAGTTATGTAAATTATGTAACCGATGAATTAATTTAAATTTTAACAAAGCGATGCGATGGCAAAATAGCTTTTAAAAACAAAGTCGCGCCACCCCTTTCTTTATATAAAGGAGAAAGTGTAATCGCCTTTGCAAAGCGAACGCCTGACATTTCTTCATTGTCTTGATAATCTCTTGCCTTGAACTTTTGAATTTAAAATGCATTTTATCGACACTGACTTTAACCTTTTATGATGATCGTACTTAACCTTTGTTAACTAATATCATTTTGTTAAAATGAAAATTTATTCTCCTTATCGTTGTAAAACAATTATTTATTGTTTTTTTTCATTTTTCTTTTCTTTTTTTCTCTAAACTATCGACAATAAATATTTTCTTTAATATCAACATTTCAATTATATTTATATAGATATTTACGTAAATGGAGAAATTTTTTTCTGCTAAACGGAAATTGAAAGAGATTTTCAGAGAATACAGAAGGATTATAATGCATTTAGAAAGATTACAAAGGATTAAGGCGGAAAAGATCTCTCCGAGGGAAAGAATTATAATGAAAGGGATTTGTTGGGGCAAAAAAAAAATAATCGTTTGTTTCTGTTTTTCTCTTTTTTTTGTAAAATTATATTAACTCTCAAATTAGTATATCAAAGTAAAACATTTTTCTGTATTTCGTTCGTGAATAATGTGAGAAAAAAGTTTTTGCTAGTTATTTCGAGAAAGATTCGAATCTTTTAAAAAGTAGACTTACTTTTCTGGTTTTGATATTAAGTCGGTGTTATTAACAGTTGAAAGATCATGTTTCTCGCGATAAATGTGTGAGAAAAATTAAAAGTTGTTCTTTAAAGGCAGAACTTGAATTTATCATGATAATGAGTAAATTAAGCATGAAACACGATAAGCCATTAGAATT